TAACTAACTAACTAACTAACTAACTAACTAACTAACTAACTAACTAACTAAAAAACAGCCCTGGTAGATTATAATTGTGTAAAGCAAACCAGATTTGACTACTATGTTCAGTGAAAAATAAGAACTTATCATGTTGAAGTTCTGACTAGTATTTTACAAGTTTATTTTTACTTAATCTAAATTTTCTAATGCTGAAGGGTCAAATTTCTAGGCTTTATGATGCTGCCAGGCAGCTCTCTAGAACTAAACCAACAATCCCAAACTTGTGCTGTTTTAACTTTGTTTTGTCTCTTGTTGTGATTATCCAAAAGAGTGTTTGTAAGAGTAGACCTCCATATTGAACACATTTGCCTGAACTATAACCCTTTTGCCTGCCTCCCCGAAAGCCACTGCCTTGGGCCCTAATGTAAAATAGCATTTAAATAGTCACTCTGTTTAAGAACAGGATACCTTTAAGAGTGTTTGGGGACAATGCAGCTTGTTAATAGCATTGTGAGATGATGGCAGCCGCTGACAAGGTTAGTCTTAAAACAGTGTTTGGATAGACTCAGTCAAAGTTAAAGGATATAAATACCATTTTAGAAGCATGAACTTTAGAATGAAGCTGTTTCACGCTTCTAGCACTTAATGAAGAAACAAGAAAGTATTTTACTGCCTACCAATATTTTTCGTTGATTTAGTCAATGGCCAGATGTTGACATTTATTAATATAAAATACTTTGGTAGAAAATATTTCAGTAAACCGTTACCCTCCTCCCAAAAAAACCCATAATGGTAATATTCAAATTTTTAAACCATTATAAAATTGAAAGTAGGTTTTGGTTTGGTTTTGGTATGAAGGAAATTTATTGGATGGAGAGAAAGAAGGAAGGAGAGGAGAGAGAGAGAGATGGGGGGGGGATGCCCTGACAAAGGGGAGAGAGCCAAGTGAAGCAAAAGAGCCAAAGTAGGAATTTTCTTGCTTCTATTCAGAATTATGTAGTTGGATCTTAAGGATACCTTGAAAAGAACTGGAGTTTTATCATGATTGTGAAAATATTTTTTAGAAGCTTGCTTTGTCGATTTTGTTGCAAAATTACTCCAGTAACAACAAAAAAATAGTTCTGTATTTTTTTCATGTAAGAAAGTTGATAATTGGGCTAGAGAAATGACTCAATGTAAGAGTATTTGCTGCTCTTGCAGAGGGCCCAGGTTTTATTCCCAGGACCCTCCTGGCAACTCACAACTGCCTGTAACCAGTTCTAAAGGAACTGATGCCCTCCAAGGGCACTGTATGCATGTCGTGCACATACCTGCACAGGCACATAAAATAAAAGTAAATCTTTAAAAGGAAGATTGATAAAGGGCAATTAAGCTTTCTGAATCTTTTTTTAGGGCTTAAGATGTGGTTGATGGTATTTGATGTTTCTGCTGAGTCAGGGAATTCAATACCACTGTGGAGGCAGAAATTATATTCTCACCAAAGTGTATCTGCTATTTAATGGGAAAATGGTGAGTTGGGTTTTTGTTCATTTGGGTGTGGGTGTGTGGGTTTGTTTGCTCTTTTCCTGTAAACCTATGTCAGGTTATGGAAATGAGCATTCAACTCATGAACAAGGCCATGCCACCCGTGCCAACTTTACAAGTTTCTATTCTTTCTGCCAAATAATTCTGTGAGCTGTTATAATACTCTCTTTTCATACACCTTTGATTTTTTTTTCTTGCCTGTTTTATTTTTTAGCTCTGCTTATGATAATCTGAACAAAGTTCGAGTTGCTATCAAAAAAATCAGCCCTTTTGAGCACCAGACCTACTGCCAGAGAACCCTAAGAGAGATAAAAATCTTACTGCGCTTCAGACATGAGAACATCATCGGCATCAATGACATCATCCGGGCACCAACCATTGAGCAAATGAAGGATGTGTATCCTTTCCTAACACTAATGCTGCTGCCTCTGCTGCCTGGCCACTTTGTGGAGTAAATAACTTGAAATCAAGAAGAGTACACAAAGCATTTTTTAATCACTCCTGCCATACATATAAAGGATGCTAAGAGGAGATTGTAATCTGTTTGTACTTACTCTATTGTTTAAAGCATTTTGGGTTTTTTTTTTTCCTTATTGTTTTGTTTTTGTTTTTGCTAATTTTAGCATTTTTTTTAATAAGTTCTGTGTTTTCTCTGTCATTCTCTAAAGGTTTTCTTTAATCTTAGCTTAGGAAAGTTATTTAATATCCTTTCCAACCCCATGATGAAGTAGTGCCCCTAGCTACGCACCTGGCTGAATATGCTCCTCTTTCAGCCTCACCTTCCTTATCTTTAAAACAAATAAACTGACCCGGGCACAGTGGTACCTGCCTTTCAGGAGGCAGAGGCAGGCAGATCTCTGGGTGTGAGGCCAGCCTAGTTTATAAGACCTGTTCTAGGATTGTCAGGGCTACACAGAGAAACCCTGTCTCAAAACCAAATGAATGAATGAACGAACGGGCAAACGGAGCCTCAAGATCTTTAAGACCAGATCAACTCTGTTACACATAATTGTAGGCAGCATTAGACATCAGAACTGGGTCTAGAAGACCCCGCCTCAGTCTGCACCTCTAGGGAGTGGCAGCTCATATCTCTAGGCAGATACTCCTTTTTAAAACATCTCTTTGTTGGTAAATGGTATGGTATTCTAAGTGAAATGCCTTCTGCTGATACATACCTCTTGGTCTTGTTTTACCTTTTGTCATAAAAGAAAGCCTCTTGTATATAACAAGCCTTAATTCCTCAAGTCCCATGCTTGGTTTCATCGAGCCTGAATCTGTAGGAAACAGAATAGTATGCACAAAAACAAAAGAAATGCAAAAATTCCCTTAATAAAACATTATTATTATGATGTTAAAAGCAAAGGGTGTGTACATTAATTTTCATAAGAAATAATGTGGCATAGCTGATATTTTAGCTGCTTAAATAGTGGGTGGCAATGCAGGAAGGAAAGAAGAACAAAACTCATCAACCACTTCTTTACATACTTCCCTTGTTCTTATTATATGTGTACAGAATTGAACAGTGGTCAAAGAACAAGGCAGAAAGGCAGAGACTGGACGCAGTGGCAGTGTCATTTCTAGGCCTGTATGTCCCTCCTGGTTAATTGTGAGGATATTGGTAACAAGAAGCAAAGAAAAAGAACAGTGGCATTACCCATTGCTTCTGGGCCAAAGAGATAAATATTGATGTTTGTTGATCATCACATTCCTTATACTTTGAAGGAAATTGGTTGATAGTGGACAATTTGGAGAACAGGGAAGTTGAGACCTCAAGATTGGCCAATATTCTGTTTCAAGTCTTAGTCTAGGCCCACAAGCCACATTGGGGCAGAGCTGATACAAATTTTCTTTCATGTGAGTATACCATGTTCTCTTCAGTCTCTCCTGTCCTTTGACAGCCTCGCTGTGTCAGAACCTGTGTGGGGAGAGGATTAAGGGGAGTTGCATTTGCTTTGCTAAGTGTGACCAACTGCTGGGTGTTCTACCTTAACCTGTCAAACAGATATATAGTGCAGGACCTCATGGAGACAGATCTGTACAAGCTCTTGAAGACACAGCACCTCAGCAATGACCATATCTGCTATTTTCTTTATCAGATCCTGAGAGGATTAAAATATATCCATTCAGCTAATGTTCTGCATCGTGACCTCAAGCCTTCCAACCTCCTACTGAACACCACCTGCGATCTCAAGGTCAGTTAAGTCATTTACCTTCAGGATGATAATGTACTTTTAAAACAACTTTTGTTTGAGGTGTTATTTGTAGTCAAAACTGTCAGTTACACAAGTTTGTTTTGTTTTGAGACAATTTGTTTTGTTTCTCTGTGTAGCCTTGGCTATCCTCAGTTCACTTTGTAGACCGGGCTGGCCTCGAACTCACAGAGAACCGCCCGCCTCATCTCTCCGAGTCCTGGATAAACAAATATATTATAGCAAAAATGCAAGTATAGTATGAGTCTCATTCTTTCTTTAACCTATTCTTTCTTTTCAGTAGCCACTGTAGCACATTGGTAGCTCATGTGTGTGCATACCTACATGTATGCAGTGTCATATGTGTTATCTTTGTCTCAATCCTCTGTATCGAGTATGAGGCTCACAGTGATATATAGCTTTTCACTGGGTTGGCTATAACCAGTCATGTGTGGTGGCTCATGTCACAAATCTCAGCACTGGGAGGCAAGCAGATCTTTGGGAGTTTAAGGTCAACTTGATGTACATAGTGAGTTCCAGGCCAGCAAGGAATACAAAAAAAGAGGAAGGAAGGGAAAGAAAGATTGGCAAGGATTTTTTTCTTCCCCCCAGTATATACCTTAAAATGAAAATGTGTGTCCACACAAAGTAACAGATGGCTGGAGGCTCATGCAATGGCTCAGGTGAGTTGAAGGCACTTCCCAAGCCCAACAACCTGAGTTTGATCCCTATATCTCACAGTGGAAGGAGATAACCAACTCCTAAAAGTTATCTTCTGGCCTCTATACACACACACACACACACCTTTTTTTTTTTTTTTTTTTTTTTTTTTTTTTTTTTTTTTTTTTTTTTTGAGGTTTAATTTTATTTGTGTAGTTTGTAAGTAGTATGCAGGTGCTCATGTAGACCAGAAGATAGTGTCAGATACCTGAGAATTTATAGGCAATTGTGAGTCACTCAGTATGGGTATTGGTGACCTCAGGTCTTCTGTGAGAGCAGTCTGGGCTTTTCACTGCTAAGCCATCTCTCTAGACCCCCAGGGATGGTTTTTCTCAAGTCACTTAAGTGAGAGTGGTATGCTCTCACAATAGCTGATGGTAGTGAAACCTAAGGATGGTTGTCAGATCATGCCCTGTCAAATGACCCTTTACCCTTGTTCTTCACTCCACCATGTGGAATGTCATCACTTCCTTTCAGGCTGTTGAGAGGATTAGGGAACAATGGATTTGTAGTTTCCAGAAAAATATCTAACATAATATTGGTAGCATAACACTCACTGGTGATATTGCCCCCTTTTTTTTTTTTTTGTTTGTTTGTTTGTTTGTTTGTTTGTTTGTTTGTTTAAGATTTATGTATTATCTATGCAGTACTCTGCCTGCCTGTGTGTGTGCACACACCAGTAGGGGTCACCAGATCTCATTATAGATGGTTTGAGCCACTATGTGGTTGTTGGGAATTGAACTAAAGACCTTTGGAAGAAGAGACAGTGCTCTTAACCACTGAGCCATCTCTCCAGCCCAATATTGTCTCTTTTATTTTCATGGTGTCTGATATTAGCTCATTAGACTCTCTAAGAAGATATCTCACTTTCTTCCCCTTAGATCTGTGACTTTGGCCTTGCCCGTGTTGCAGATCCAGATCATGACCACACAGGGTTCTTGACAGAGTATGTAGCCACGCGCTGGTACAGAGCTCCAGAAATTATGTTGAATTCCAAGGTAAGAAAAGGAAACAACAGCTATAAACCTTCTGTAAACCCTCCTCTCCAGCCTTCAGTCAAGTATATTTGGCCAGAGCCAGAGTGCTGTCTTAACCTTTCTGAGAACTGAAATTTGGACCTTTAAGGGTCACAGTCTTCAGTCAAAGTGACTGTATGTACCCATGCCCCTCCCTTGTTGAGACCACTAAGTCCCTGTTCTTTACGTTGTCACAGTTGCTAGTGATATCTGTTTCTGTGCAAATGTTCCAGAGCTCAGGTTGCCTGATAATGAAGACTTCAGCAAAATTATTGGACATGGAAAGAATAGAAACCACTGTGGACTCTTGAAATCACAGGGTAGTTAGTTGTTTTTCAAAATGAAACCATTGCTCCTCTTACCTGAGTTGCTGTGAAGGGTAGATCCAGGTCACCCAGACTGCTAACAAGTTTGGATTTTGGTGACACATTGGCTAACAAGTCTGGATCTTGGTGATATATTGGGGTGCATACCCTTGGACCCTGTGTTCCAAGAGGGCCAGGCAAGCCTCTGCGATTCTAGGACACCCCAGGCTACATGGGGAGACCTCTTTGGGAAAAAAAAAAAAAAAAAAACTGAAGGGGGAGGGGAATTGGGTCAGGCAGGCATAATCTTAGTACTCAGGAGGCAAAGGTAGAAGAATTGCCACAAATGTAGGGTCAGCCTGGGCTATTAATGCCTAGTCAGGAAAAACAAACATGATTGCATAGGAAAAACAAACATGATTGCATAGATCTACAAATGGCAGGACAAAATAATGTATGTAGTCTTTATTAGATTCATAAGCTGGTAGGCAAATTTGAGCACTGTTAAGAACATTGAGATTCAATTTGGGTTTGAGGGGGTTGTTGTTTCTGGTAGGTTTTGGTTTTTGTTAACTGTGTCTCTATATAGATTTGTGCTCAGAAACACCAGAATTAGCTGTTAGATCCCCTAGAAATACCACTGTAGGCAGTGATGTGAGCATGTGCAAGGAACAAACTACTGGGCCCTTTGCAAGAACCCTTTGCCCAACTGCTACACTAAACCCACTCTAATTCATGTTCTCAGGGCTTCGCTTTTGTGTCATACCTTTAAATGTGATGCACAGGAATGGTGTTATCTCCAGCCTATCAGAGTGCAAGGCTCTGGGTGCAGTGATAAGTGATGCTCACGTGCAGTTTCTGGGTCATTTCCAGAATACTGCAGTTAATACTAATTGGAGAGGAAATAGTTTGACTGTGAATTTTTTTCAATCAAACTCTCAAATACTTCTCTTACTCTCCATTGGTAGAAACATAACTTTTGTTTTGATTTGTTATTGCCTATAGTTCTAGCTCCGTGAGAGCCAGTGCCTTCTTCTGATGTGTTTGGAACATCACACATGTGCACAAACCTATATAGATATACAATTAACAACAAAACCAAGAACCTCTCACCTTTTGTGTTTTCACTTTATTCTCTTGAGTTATAATCCACTCCGTCTAGGATTTGGACCTCTCCTTAACAGCCTTCAACAGTTTCTTGCTGTTCTCTGGCATCATATGCTCCAGACTATCCCTTTCCCAAACCTAGAACAGCCGTTTCTCCCAGGAAGCCTGATTCCACTTAATATTTATTTGTGTGTGTGTGTAAGGGGGGGGGGGTCCCTTTTTTTAGCTTTGGTCCAGAACAACTGGTATTTTAGATTACAAGAGTTAGAAATAATTACTTAAAATTCTACCTATTTTACCATTATTGCAGATCCAATAACTGGTTCTTTAGTTTTCCAAAATCAACTCACTCTTAAATTTTACTGATTGACTCTTTTTTCTCTTGTTTATGTTTTCTTTCCATTTATTATTATACCTAACATTTTCCACAAATTCCAGTTTGTGTTCCTTATAGAAACATTTTGAACTGTTACAAAGAAATAAAATTATATGACTTTTAACAGACTTCCTTTAAAAGAAAATTTATACCTAAGAAATAAATAGGGAAAAAAAGTGGGGGGTTTTCAGCTTGTGGCTTTTTTTTTTTTTTTTTTTTTTTTGGGGTTTGTGTGTTTTGTTTTGTTTATAATTTAAAAATGGATAAAGTTATTCCAGGAATATAGTGTTGTTCATGTAAGTTGATTTTCAAGTTTATAAAAGTTACTTACATTATATAAACAATGACTATTACTAGTTTTTCTAGTTCTAATTTGTAATAATAATTCTAAATCTTTTAACATTTGAAAGTGGACTGAGCTATACCTCAGAAATTCTAATTTAATAACTTCAAGAGATAAACATAAATTTAGCATCTGTCTTAGTTTAGATTTCTGTTACTGTGGTAAAATTTCATGACCAAAAGTAACTTGGGGAGGGGAGAGTATTTCAGCCTACAGTTCCACATCACAGTCCATCATCAAACCAGAACGGCTTCTCCTGCTTCTGCCTCCTAAGTACTAGGATTAAAGGTATGTGCCACCACTGCCTGGTGGCATCTCTTTAAAAAGCCAAATTACTGTTTTTCATTCTGTATCCCTGTGTTTCCAAATGGTAGTCTCAAGGAGGTGCTCAAACTTTAATCTGCCACATGACTGTCATATAAAGAGATTTCATGTCTTTTCTCTCCTTTGGTTGTAGGGTTATACCAAGTCTATTGATATCTGGTCTGTGGGCTGCATCCTGGCAGAGATGCTATCCAATAGGCCTATCTTCCCAGGGAAGCATTATCTGGACCAGCTGAATCACATCCTGGGTAAGCTCTTGAGCATGGTTTACATCAGTCATGTCAGACTCACTGTAGACATGGCTTGTGCTTTGTTTTAATCTTCTCTGAGACCTTTTTGCAAAACTTGTAATGCAAATACATTAATAGAGTCCCTCCTGCTCCATAGCTGATGTATATAGTAATTTGTCCTTGTCTTGACAATTAACAGCGAATATTTTGTCTAATAGGTATTCTTGGATCTCCATCACAGGAAGATCTGAATTGTATAATAAATTTAAAAGCTAGAAACTACTTGCTTTCTCTTCCGCACAAAAACAAGGTGCCATGGAACAGGTTGTTCCCAAATGCGGACTCCAAAGGTAAGTCTTACTTCACTGATGATTTTTTTTTTTTTTTTTTTTCTTCTTAAGCTTACCTTTAGGATTGCTTTGTATTGGCTTAAATTATTAGGCTCAAGCCTGAAAACTAAGCAAATTAGCTCGTAAGTCTTGAGTAATACTTTATTTAAAATGTGGTGGACTGGAAAAAATACTTCATCTTTCCATCAAGATTGTGGACTACTCTTGCAAAGAACCTGATGGATTGTTTCTTGTATCAGTCAGTTCATCAAATGCTGTTGACATTGTTAGAACTAACTCCTGGAATATGCTCTTGCGCTCTCTCTCTCTCTCTCTCTCTCTCTCTCTCTCTCTCCCGGAATATGCTCTTGCGCCCTCTCTCGCTCTCTCTCCCCAACCCTCTCCCCCTCCTGCTTCTCTCCTTTCTCTCTCTCTCTCTCTCTCTCTCTCTCTCTCACACACACACACACACACACACACACACACACACACACACACACACGTGATTTAAGCAGTGTTGAGATGATCTGAACGGGCCAAGAAGAAGGTATCTCCTTGGAGCACAACACTGCTCATTCTTGAGTTCTTATGGATAAAAATGTGCATACTTTAAACTTTTAAAAAATTCTAAGTTTATAAACTCTTGTAACAGATTTTAAATTGCATGAGTATTTTTAAAAGGTGAAATTTGTTTCCTGACATTGTTTTCTTAAATGTCATTGTTAATAGAATTGTGTCTTTTTTTCATATTAGTGCATAGATATGACTTCCCTTTAATGATTTTATAATAGTCCTCTGCTGGGAATTTAGCATTTTCTAAATTGCGTTGTTCTCATTCTCTCCCTCCCTGTTATACATTTCAAGTATTAACAGTTAGTTGAAATAGTGATTCTGTTTGCACTATGCTAATCTTAAAGAGAGCAAGCTCAGATATTATTTCTCAGGCACCATCTACCTTTTTTTTTGTTTTGTTTTGTTTTGTTTTGACAGTGTCTCTAGCTGGCCAGCAAGCCCCAAGGATCTGCTTATCCTTCCACCTTTAAGTGTATTGTGCATATTGAAATCAGATCCTCAAGATTTCCAGGCAAACACTCCACCTGCTATACCATTTCCCAGCCCAGCAATATTCAACTTAGCTGTCCAGTTTATGTATGGACCTGAGTTAAAGTTCAAAAACTTTTTTCATCTCTGATACAGTACAGAATGTTATAGATAATGTTTAGAAGTATAAATGAAATACTCCTAATTATGAGAATCTCCAAATAATCTGGAAGGGGGATATTTATGACAGAGTCTTACTGTCTAGCCCAGGTTGACCTTGAACTTAATAAAGTGATCCTTTTCCCTCAACTCCCAGTTTCTGGGTTTATATTCATATGCCACCAGGCCTAGTTTTCCAAAATAACTTTAAGCATCTTGTGGATATATCAAAATTATATTTGTAGAATCATGCTGTTGTTTAATTGTCAGTTTTAAAATTTAGAGCTCAACGCACATAATGCATTACTTTTTTTTTTTTTTACATTTATTTATTATTATATGCATGTGGAGTTTGGAGGACATGTAAAAATTGGTTCTCTACTTTTACCACATGAGATCAGGATCAAACTTAGATGGTCAGGCTTAACCAGATGCACCATTACTTGCCTTCTTGCTGGCCCCAACAAATTACATTTAGATTGGCTTATGTATTTCATCTACTGAACATTTTACCTGTCTTCAGAATTGCTCTTTTAGGTTCATACATAAAAAACTTCATGATTAAGATGTAAGCTGACCTATTCCCTTTGTTCCCTTCCTGTTTCCCTAAGTAAGCTTCTGGTAGCAGGAACATTGCAGAAAAAGCCAGCAGAACCTGCAGGGTATTGTTAGAGACTAGGTCCAACCACAATCTGTCACACTCAGGGGTCCAAATCAAACTGTACTGTCAGCTAGTACAGGAGATAGGAAATACAATCTTACTACTGATAGGAGCAACTGCAAAGATTTGTGTTATGTTTAATCCCAGAGAAGTTACTAATTTATTTAACAAAAAGACTTGAGCATTTATTCTGTACCATCCTGGCTGTTACAGCCCAGGACATGAAATCAGCAATAAGAACCTATTTGTAGTCAGGTGTGAGGTGCACATCAACCCTTTCTCAGGGAGGCAGAGGCAGGCCGATCTCTGTGAATTCGAGGCCAGCCTGGTGTGCAGAGGACACCAGGATTATACAGAGAAACCCTGTGTGGGGGTCATATTTGCAGAGAGCTGACTTATATGAAAATGACATAAGAAACTGAGTGGATGACATTTGGGAATTCAAGATTTCAATTTTCTAGCTGAAAAAGTGGAGGTTTTGAGTATAAATAATGATCATTCGTAGATAAAAGAACAATTAAATATTAAGACAAATGCTCATCTTTACAAGATAAGAACACTAAGAGGCCCACAGTTACTCTTCTGCCCACTCCATTCTCCCTTTTAAAAAGCGTTTATCACTGGGCAGTGGTGGCCTGTGCCTTCACCAGCACTCGGGAGGCAGAGACAGGTGGATCTGTGAGTTCCAGGACAGCCAGGGCTACACTATTTTAACCTGTCATGTGTTCAGGGCTGTGGGGAATAGAGTAGAACATTCATGAGTTGAGTCACTGTAGAAGGAAGTTGGGCAGGTTTGTCTTGGATCTTTTATTTCAACAATTTTAGATTCTCACCTTTGGGTCTGCCAACATTGAGGCTGGATGTAGTATTTAATTTATTTAGCTTATAACTGAGAATGAAATTAGGCTGGTCATGGTGACAGATTTCTTTAATTTCAGCATTTAGGAAGTAGAGGCAGGTGGCTTTCTGAGTTTGAGGTCAGCCTTGTTTACAGCCAGAGCTACACAGAGAAACCCTTTCTGGGGGTGGTAGGAGTTAAATTGAGTATTTTCTACATATTTGTTAAAAGTTTTTTATTTACTATTTATATAGTATTCTGCCTGAATGTGTGCCACACACCAAAAGAGGGCACCAGAACTCATTACAGATGGTTGTGAGCCCCATATGGTTGCTGGGAATTGAACCAGGATCTTTGGAAGAACAGCCAGTGCTCTTAACCTCTGAGCCATCTCTCCAGCCCCCTTGTTGAAAGTGTCTTAAAACTGAATCTTTGGAGCCAGTAGTGCTATGGGTTTTTTCCTTCAAAGCAATTTTAGTTTAGAATTCTCTCCAAGAGTGAAGGGGAAGAAATAATTTTTGCAGCACATGGTACTGGGCTAGTTGAATCTTTATTTGGAATAAATTTGGTTTAAATTAATGCTCATAAATAAATGAATTCGAAACAAACTGATGATCAAACATGGATTCTTATTTATTTTTTAAGATTTATTTGTTATGTATGTATAGAATGTTCCGTCTTCATGTATGTTTACATGCCATAAAAAGGCACCAGATGATAGATGGTTGTGAGGTCACCATGGGGTTGCTGGGAGTTGAACTCAGAACCTCTGAAGAGTAGCCAATGAGGGCTCTTAACCTCAGCCATCTTTCCAGCCCCCAAATACATATTTTTAATAGTACTATTGGGCTGGGCTCTGGAGTTTACAACACTTGTTCTTGCTGAGGTCCCAGGTTCAGTTCCCAGCCACCCACATGTTGGCTCACAACCACCCACAACTCTAGTTCCAGGGGATCTGGTGCCCTCTTCTGCCCTCTGAGGATACTAGGCATGCATGTGCTGCACATGTCTGCAGGGAGGCAAGCTACTCAGACATAGAAAGTTTGTTTTGTTGTTGTTTTTTGGAGACAGGGTCTCTCTGTGTAGCCTTGGCTGTCCTGGACTCACTTTGTAGACCCATCTGGCCTTGAACTCACAGAGATCCATCCACCTGCCTCTGCCTCCCTGAGTGCTGGGATTATAGGCGTAGGCCACTATTTTAGCTTAAAATAACAAATCTTAAAAGATTTTTTAAGTCATACTGTTAAGAACCAGCAATGTTAGAGTATTCCATGTTTTTCTGAATTGTACATGTATTTTTTTTTTTTTTTACTAAGCTTTAAACATAAACCAAGAAGTGCGGATGCAGATGATTCCATGGTGAAGAGCACTGATTTCTCTTATGTAGGACCCAGGGTTTGATTCCCAGCATCTATGTGGAATTGTAGCTCCAGTTTCAGGAGATCTGGCACCTTCTAGCTTCCTTGGGCACCAGACATGCACTTGGCACACAAACACACATGCAAGGAAAACATTCACACACACATAATGTTTTTTAATTAAAAACCAAACAAACAAACTCTTGGGCTGGAGAGATGGCTCAGAGGTTGATGGCGCAGAGGTTAAGAGCACTGGCTGTTCTTGCAAAGATCCTGAGTTCAATTCCTAGCAACCACATGGTGGCTCACAACCATCTTTAATAGATCTGGTGCCCTCTTCTGTTGTGCAGGCACACATCCAGGTAGAACACTGTACATATAATTAATAAATCTTTAAAAACAACACAAAACAAAAAAAACTTCAAATAACTTTAAAAAGAAATGCAGGTTGTACCCTTGTTACATCCTCCTTGGCATCCATGCCCATGAGCTTGCACACACACTCAAAGTAAACAATTTTAAGTAATGTTTAAGGTTTAAAACATAACATTAGACTGAATAACATTTAAAGCATTCCAGTATTTGCTGTCATGTGGAAGGGAGCCCAGCATAATGGTACTTTTAGAAAGAACCCTGCCTCATAACCAACAAATTCCAGTGTAATTCACATCAAGTATTTGGTGGTCTTTCAGGCTCTGATAATGCATACATGAGTCATAATTGGAATCATGAATTATTGTTAGCTCCATAGATTTGTATCTATTCTGGAACTTGGCCAGCTCAGGCTAAAGACTGCTTTGAATGTTTCTCTACCCATTACCTTTGACAAACATAAGGAAAATGAGCATGGTCCATATATGCAAAAGAAAAGTGCCTAGCAAGATACAGACTGATAAATATGGGTTGTTTTTCCAGCTAGGGGAATGTTGATGACTCTATAAGAGTAATTAAAAGGCTGGAGAGATGTCTCAGCAAGTAAGACCACTTAGTACTCTTGCAGAGCACCTGGGTTCAGTTCACCCAGCATCCCTGTGGTGGCTTACAACCTCTTCTGACCTCGGCAGGTACCAAGCCCCCTTGGTACACAAACATACTGGCAGTCAAACACACACATAATAAAATTAATAATTTTTTTTTCTTTAAAAAAATAATTGAGATCTGGTGTGATCTCTCAGTAAAGTACTGGATTTTAGAATGTCAATTCAGATTCCTACAATCTTGTAAAACCAGGCACAGTAGCCCAGAAAAGCTGTAGTCCCAGCTTCTTTGCGATAAAGGTTGGAGGTGGAGACAGGAGAATCCCCAGAAACTGGTTGGTCAGCTAACCTTGTATATACAGAGATGAACAGAAGACCCTGTCTTTTAAACAGGTAGACGGGGAGGGTTTAAATCCAAGGTTGTATACCAGGAGAGACAATCACTGTAGGTTTGTACACCTGCATACATGTAAGCTTGGAGAGAGCATGATTGAAACACTAAGTAGAAGTGCAAATTCAAATGGAAAGTAGAGGCAGACATGACTGGACCGCCAGAGTGGCATGACAAGCTCAGTTGAGCTTGACTGAATAAAATCCAGGGATATCACTTCTGGGAACAGTTGGCCAGGTGTTGGTGGTGCATGACTTTAATTCCAGCGCTGGAGAGGCAGAGGCATCAGTAGCAAGGAGCTCATGCCTGGTTTACTGTAGATCTAGCCAAGATCAGTACCTTGAGAGGCCTAGGAGAGAACCTACTACTATCATTTTGTTCAACTGGTAGACTGCCTTCTAATTACTTAACCTTATGTATGTAGGTTAATCCATCCTAAACTCTCATCAGAGAAACTACTTTCTGCTGTGTGTGGAGATTACCACCAAGAACTACAAACAGGGCAGAGAATAAGTGGCAATGGAATGCTCACCCCTAAACAGAACATTCCCCCAAGGTTGGGGGAAGTTGTGAAAAGTATGGGGTGGATTAGAGGGGATAGAAAGAGCCAGGTGTCAACAAACAGTGTCTTCTGGAAGTGAAAGACAGTTGCACTCTTGAACTCTTAGCTGTGGTTGCTACTTAAGACCTGCACAAGACCAATCTACTCACTCCTCTGGAGTGGGTACTTAAGAGCTCTCGAGGCTCCTAGTTGAAAAAGCTGCACTGTGGGTGTTTGACAGCTGTCAAGGGAGAGCCAGCTTTCTTCAGGGGTGCAGTCCCTGAGAAGTTGGTCATGCTATAGTGGACAGCCCCACACTCACATGCCAGTAACACTGGATTTAGTTTCAAAAGAATTACAAGTAAGGCTGGAGAAATGCCTAAATAGTTAAGAATACTGGCTGCTCTTCCAGAGGACTCAGGTTCAACTGTACCCACATAGCAGCTCACAACTATCCAGTCCCCAGGGATCTGACGGCCTCTTCAGTGTACTCACACACAGACGGTTGTGCTCTTTTAAGATTTGTATATGTTTTTGTGTGCATGGGTGTTCTGGTTACATGTCTGTGTGAGGATGCCAAATCCTCTAGAACTGGAGTTACAGTTGTGAGCTGCCATGTGGGTTCTGGGAATTGAACTTGGGTCCTCTAGAAGAGCAGCAAGTGCTCTTAACTACTGAGCCATCTCTCTAACCTGTGCATATGTAATTTTTAAAGGGAGACTTAACAGTGATGCCCGCTGTCTGGAGGGTCAGCTCAATAGGAAATGGAAAGTGTTTGCTAATGAATCCTGTTTCTCACCATTGCAAAATCCTTTCTCTTTGTAGCTCTGGACTTACTGGATAAAATGTTGACATTTAACCCTCACAAGAGGATTGAAGTTGAACAGGCCCTGGCCCATCCATACCTGGAGCAATACTATGACCCAAGTGATGAGGTAAGAGCTCATGTTCCTGCTGCTGAATTCTCCATGTTCATGCAGTCAGCAGACGCCCTAGCCATGTCCTTGTCAAGATTTTCCTGAGGAACATGATGCCATACCCACCTCCTGTAATTAAGGGTGAGCACTGTTAGGCTCAGCCTGATGCTCCTGCCTACCGGCTTTTGCTGTTTGCCTCAGAAGAGTTCCTCCAGGTCATCTGCAGCAGGTAGAGCAGTGCATGTACAGAGGAGGACAGCTGCACGCAGTGGAGCATGGAAAGAGGGAGGAAGCAGGTTCAAGGTTAGTGTCTTCCAAGTTACTCGTCTACTGCTATGATACTACACCATGACCAAGACAACTTGAAAACAAAGTGTTTAATTTGGGGCTTACAGTTTCAGAGGGTTAGAGTCCATCACCTCATGGTAGAGGCCATGGAAGCAAGCAGGCAGGCATGGCACAGGAGCAGTAGCTGGGAGCTCACATGTTGAGACACAGCCACGAAGGAGCGAGAGGTAGCTGAAAATGGCGTAAGCCTTCAGAAACCTCAAAGCCCTCTCCTGTGACACACCTCCGGCAAAGCCACATTTCCTAATCCTTCCCAAACTGAACCAAGTGTTAAAGTATGAGCCTATGGGAGCCACTGTTTTATGTCCTACCACAGCTAGAATTTGAAGTGGTCCATAGCAGAAAGGCCCTGAGGGTCTGAGGGTGAAGAGACAGGCAGCTTTCTGTTGGGACAGCACGTTAGTCAGCCAGTGGCTCACACTGTGACTTCATGACTCTTATCAAGTGTGCCATTTCCCGGAGACATAAGAGTTTGTGGTAAGAGTTGGTGAATCCAGGTGTGATAGCGCCTCAGACAGACTCGTACATATCTCATACCATGTGTCCTCCAGAGCAAGCCCAGTGCCTTCTCTGGATCCTCTGCAAGCTCCATTTTAAGCTTTATTTTCTCAAGGATAACAAAGGAAAATGCGAAGTGAATTAAAATTGTAGGTTTCTCTAGTTGGGGACTTCTATGCATAGAAATTGAAGCCTGTAGAAAGAAGCAAGAATAGTGTGTTCAAATTTAGATGGGAAAGGAAAACATCTTCGCTAAAAGCTGATTAATGAAAGAATATAGAAATCAAGATGAAGTTTTTTGTTTTTGGTTTTTAAACTGGTGTTCAAGAAAACTTTTTAAGCACTCGAGGGAGCTTGCAAAACACCTACAATGTAGTTGATAACATAGCAATCAGTCGGAATTCAAACATCTCAGGCTCTCCTCAGTCCCTTGCACTGGGTATTTATTTCCTAAGGTTCTGGTGTTAGGCTTAGCAACCTGAGACAGTATTGTGATATGCATAGGATACTTTATGTAGTCCTATATACTGTCCTGGAAGGACAAGTGTTCTCTTACAGATGGGAATTCTTTTTACGTGACCAAAATACAGTGCAGTGTTCAGGTCCATTGTGAAGATTAAGTACTACATAAGATCTGGAGGTTCAGGCACATACTGATTGACAGCTGGTATCATTGTCCACCTTAGTCCTGTAATGTTTTAGTTGTAGGCATTTAAAAATCAGAGTATGGGGCTGGCAAGATGGTTCAGTGGGTAAATGCACTTCCCAAGCCTGACAGCTTGTTCAGTTCCCAAGAGCCATATGGTGGAATGAGAGAATGATTTTTGCGGTTGTCCTCTTTCCTCCTGCTTATACTTTGGCTCATACACGCAAAATTATTAGTTGTAAAAAATGTTTTTTAAGTAAAAATATGGAGCTAGGATATCATTCAGTCTTGTGCTTGCTTGCCATGACTGCAGTTCTGGTCTCAGTCCCCAGAGCTACATAAAGCAGAGTGGTGATTGTGCATGCTGTGATCCCAGTGCTCTGGAGGTGTGAAGATCAAAAGTGCAAGGCTTCATACAGAATTGGAAGCCAGCTGGGTATAAATGAGACATTCAGATAGACACAATCATATTAAAGTAATTAAAGTTATCAGGCTGAGGCAGGAGAACTGTAAATGTAAAACCAAACTGGGCTATACCCAAAGTAAAACTATATCAAAACTCTTTAAGCTAAGGTGAAGTAAATATTTCCTTCCCAGTTTATATTTTTCTGGATCTACTCTTTTGAGTAAAGTAGGGTGAATCCACTTATATACAAACATGAGTATTTTCCATAATACTAATAATCCTTGCAGCTTCACTTTTAATAGCTTGAGATATTTGGTGCCTTAAAACATTTTAAATTATTCTGGAATTTTTGATAAGTTCAGCAGAATACTCTGTTATGCCCACTCTCTTTTTTTATTTTCATACTGTTCTTGGGATGGTGCCCAGATCCTCCCTCACACATGTTACCAGTGAGCTGCACTCTGAGCTCTTGCTTGGGGCTTTGAGCTTTTATGAGGCATTGGTCCTATTGTATAAGTTCAGAGTATAAACAAAGGTTGTGTTATAAATTAGTAAATCACTGCCTTAGCCATGACAACTTGTAACTGGTAAATGCTCTGCTTTGTCTTAAAGCCCATTGCTGAAGCACCATTCAAGTTCGACATGGAGTTGGATGACTTACCGAAGGAGAAGCTCAAAGAACTCATTTTTGAAGAGACTGCTAGATTCCAGCCAGGATACAGATCTTAATTTGGTCAGGTATCTAGAACTTTAACTATTCAGTCAACTACATAGCAAGGGAGAGAATGGTACAAGTTAAAAACCTCTAGAAGGACAAAGAAATTCAATGTGTCCTTTCCGATTGATAAAGCTTTCATTCTGATTGCTTCGTGGTGTGAAATAAAGAAATTAGACTTCGTCTTTCACAGATTATGAGGACACGAGTAAAGTGGCAGCTCTTAGACACTGTGACAGTGATGTGTATTGTGGGCTGGGAGGTATGTGAAAGAAAGTAACTCAGAGGAAGGAAAAGCTTTGAGGCGTTTATTCCTGAAAACCTTATTTTACTTAATATGACATTTTTAAATGTTCAGAAATTCTATTGTGTAACTCGTGTGGCCTTGGCTCTGGGTGGGTGGGTGGGTGGTTGTGGTGTTAGGGATTGAATCCAAGGCCTCTTGCATGTTAAGCAAGTGCTGTACCACTGAGCTGCACTCCTAAGATTTGAGAAGAGGAAATTAATGGGACAGGGGATAAGGGGGTAAAAGGAAAACAGGTGAATATGCTCAAAATACATTATACATGTATGAAAATGTCAGTGAAACCCATTATTATATGTAATTAATATATACTAATAAATCATTTAAAAATAAATATCTTTGAAAAGATACAATTTTCTTCACTAAACTGTAATTGAAGTACAGATGTGGAGGCATTCGGGACAAACACTTGATAGGAGAATTAAGTGTAGGGCATCGTAGGAAGACTGAGTGTGTGAGGGGAAACTCATGGAGACTGTATAGAAGACAGGCAGAAAAGGAAGGAGTGAGGCGACACAGCACGGAAGGAGAAAGAGAGTTCAAAACAGTCGGAAAGGCAAATAGATTTTCAAGGTGTGGCTTCATGTTTGAAAGATTCGGTTGGGGTGGAGGATGGTTGTGCAGTACATACTCTTGTGCTTACTGGAAGCGCAAGTCTGGTTCTGCTGCTTTTAAAGGAGAGGAGGGGCCTCCTGTTAAATGGCTGTGTGTTCAGAGTAGCAGTCTAATCTCCAGCAGTCCCCTCAATCCTCTAATGTCCTGTAACTCATAATCCCGTAAGTTAGAGCTGTCGATGTTGGGAATTTTTCTCTCTTGGAAGCCATGTTCACACTGTTATTAGGAATTACAAGACCTTCCTCTCTGTACTCAAGGAGCTGAGTGGGATTTGTTGACAGTTCTGGTCCGTTCTTGTCCGTTTCTTTGCCAACTGTTCTTGGGTAGATTCACAGGACATCAGTACCTCTGACCCTCCTCTTAGGTAAAGCACAGCCACAGATTAATCCACAATATTAGAGTCTTCCATGTATGTCACTTCTGATGAGACAGATACAAAGGAATAGTTCAAGTGCTTGTCGTAGGGGATCTCCTGACTGGCCTTGTTCCACACGTCACTCCATCTTGGTTTGCACAAGAGTGTGGGCAAGAGAAGCTGAGAAAAACTTTATTGAAGAGTCGTCATTTAGACTGACACTTGAGAAGGATTTATACATACCTGGCTGAGCTTCATGAACTTAGATACAAGAACTTAAGGGAGAATATGGTAAAAGAAGAGAAAATAGTATGTGTTAGAATGTAAATATTAGAACAGTTTAGTGCTTGAGACCCACAGTTATTCTATATCTATGCTTAAAGCTTAGCATTTTTCCAGTTTTCTTTTAATGACAATTTTCAACTATTGTGAAGAATTGAAAGAATTTTAAAGTTAGATACTCATATCCCACTACCAGATGCCATTATTATTTGACTGTACTCCTTTTCTCCTTTTACTAATCCAACTTTTCCTTTGTCTACCTGTGCTAACCCATCTGATTTATTTCTGGCTTGTAATTTATTCCTTTAAAATAAAAATGAGGGGCCATTTTAACAATAAAGAGCACTAGTTGCCCTTCCAGAGGGCCTGAGTTTGATTTCCAGCACCCACATGGTGGCCCACAACCATCTCTACCTCCAGTTCTGAGTGCCTTCCCCTCTACTTCCAGGCTTCATGGGTGCTGCACACACATATAAAATACCCATACACATAATTTTTTTTAATTTTTTAAATAAATTAAAAATGAATTCAGAGGAAAGTTACGCTTGAAGCATTACTGACAGACAGGTCTTCTCAGGATTCATTTTTCTGTTCCCAACAGGGCCTCTAAAGACAGCACATGCACCTGTGACTGAGACAGCCTAAAGACTGAAGAATCTAAAATTTTTGTGCAGAATTGTCCATCATAGCCAAAATGATCCACAGCTTTTGGGGTGCTTCAGATAGAAGATATAGATATAGGTTATATTTCCTCCGTCTGTGGCATAGAGCTGGGAACTTTTCCACAACGTCAAAAAATGTTGTTCCTGAGCTTAGCCTTTGGATGAGCTCCATGCTAGGGTAGAGAGTACCAGGAGATACAGGGACAGTAGAGGGAGGGAAATCAACTGTAAGTCATACCCTCAAAGAATACCACTGGCTACAGTCAGCTGTCTTATAGTAGCCTGAGCAGTTGTAAAAGGTCAGGGTGTTCCATTGTATTTGGGTTATAGAATTTTCCAGTGGTAATCTAAAGGGTAGTATGTAGTCAGTACCTCATCTTCATCCAGTCCCATCTCCTGAGTCTTTGGCTGTAAATGTAGAACTAGGTCTTTCACGGGCAGATGGATCAATAAGAATGTTAGCCTCAGCTTCCTTTGGTTTCCTGAAAGATTATGTTCTTATATATGGTTGATACTCATCCTTTCCACATTGGCCTCTCTTTTTGTTGTTGTTGTTTTTATTTTTAGACAAAAACAAAACGAAACAAAGTTTCTCTGTGTAGCTGTGGCTGTCCTAGAACTTGCTCTGTAGACCAGGCTGGTCTTAAACTCAAGAAATCCACCTGCCTCTTGGGTTCTAGGATTAAAAACGTGTGCCACCACACACCAGCTTCCAAACTGTCTCTTGAGAGGCAGATGAAAGCTATGTCCCTGCAAATGCTTTGTGACCTACCAGAGCAGCACCACTAGGTCTCAGTGCTAGCAGCATATCAAACCAGTCCAAAGAGAAGATCTTCTGTCATTTGAAACGCTGGGTCACTGCGCCAACTCGACTACATTTCCTTATCAGAGCCACAGGGCATAACAGGACTGATATGGCAGTGCTTTCACTTCTCAGAGAGAATGGAAAATAAGCAGGTACTTATGAAGCGCATGAGTACTTTGGGCAGCCTGAGCCATTTATGCTCCCAGAGACTTTAACAAGCCCTCCAGGGAATCTTATACATTCATAATTTATTTTTATTTTATGTACATTGGTGTTTTGCCTGCATGGATGTGAGGGTGAGAGTGTCTGATCCCATGGAACTAAACTTACAGACAGTTGTGAACTGCCATGTGGGTGCTGGGAATTGAACATGCGTCCTGGGAAACTGGCCAGTGTTCTTAACTGCTGAGCCATCTCTCCAGTCCTCTTCCAGGGACTGTTAATACCCAGGACTTTGGGGGCTCAGAATCACTGGACTACATTATGGTGAGAGTAGATTTGGTTTGGAGTACAATCTCACCCAAGTAAAAGTAAGGAGAGATGTGGCTTGTGTTTTCCTGGGGTGACATTGCAGGTGGCTAGCCGAATGAAGTCTCCTAGAGTTAGGGGATGGGGGTGTTGGCTGAATAAAGACAGGTGGAGCTGCCTGGAAGATAGATGGCCAGCCTCTTGACCTGGGGGTCCATCCCACCAGCCAACGCTGGGGACCAGCGACAGCTTCCTACCTTTCAGAATCTCGGCCTGCCACCCTCGCTGCCCACCAGGGCTTAGTGTGCTCTCAGGAAGAGAAGGCCCAGGCATAACAGCACGCATCCCATTGTGAGCACAGGTGGCTGTCCTGCCCGGCCACCCAGAGAAAGGAGACTTCCTAAGAATAGTGGTGTGATAAACTTAGAGGTAAGGTCTAGTAATATTTATTAATCAACCAGGAATAATGTCTTAGGCAGGTTTACACTACAAGGATAGGTGTATATGAGCTTGAGGACCAGTAATTAGCATCAGAATACAATCAGACCAACCCCCAACAAATAGAAAGAAGATCTTTTCAATAGCGTGTTTTGAAAAAACCTTTTAAACTGTTTTTTGACTGTGGGAGTGGTGGGTACTGCATTGTTAATAAAGGAAGCCAACAAAGCTGTGAGTGTAATAAATTTTTCCATGTGTCTTCTCTTAGTCACTGTGTGTTTTAGTTAGGGCTTCATGGCTGTGAAGAGACACCATAACCACGGCAATTCCTATAAAGGAAAACATTTAATTGGGGCTGCCTTACAGTTTCAGAGGTGTAGTCCATTATCACCATGGTGGTGCTGGAGAGGTAGTAGCTAAGAGTTCTACATCAGATTAGCTGGCAGCAGGAAGAGACAGTGAGCCACTGGGTCAGGCTTAAGCTTGTGAAACCTCAAAGCCCACCCCACTGACACACTTCCTCCAATAAGGCCACACCTCCTAAAAGTGCCACTCCCTATGAGCCCATTGGGGACCATTTTTATTCAAACCACCACATGGTACCAACTCAACTGTCTGAAAAAGATACCTGTGAACTAAGGGCGCAAAGCTCCAGCCTTTAGGACCTGCATGTCGCACATCATGTATGTGTGAAGGTACAGTGACCTTTTACAGGTTTTATTCTCATTACATTTCTGCTTTGCCATTTTGTGCTGTTGTTGCCTTTATTGTTCTGACATGGCTCAATCCTTCCTCCTGAGTTTGTGTTTTTCTTACAGGACAAGGGCTCAGAGGACTGGACGTGCTCAGATGTCGGTGTTCCTCCCAGTTCTTGACCCCTGGTCCTGTCTCCAGCCCGTCTCAGCTTACCCACTCTGACTCCTTTGAGCCGTTTGGAGGGGCATTTTCTGGTAGTAGTGGCTTTTATACTTTCACAGAATCCCTTCAGTCCAGAGTGTTCTCCTGGCACAGTGCCCTAGAGCAGGGTGCACTTGGAGTGTACTTAACTGCATACTGTTGTTTAGTCACTAACTGCTTTCTGGTTTGAAAGATGCAGTGGTTCCTCCCCTCCTGAATCCTTTCTACATGTCACCCTGCTAAACCATGTGGCCTCACCAGAGCGAGACGAGAGTCTTTCCACAGTGGCTTCAGTCACTGGCATCTTGCGTTGCAGTAAGGAAGGCTATTACATAGAGCACTTTCAAGTCAGCGGCAGCTCCAGGTTTGCTGTTCCTCTGTTGACTAGCAAGTGTCTACCCAGAGCAGGAGCTTGTGGATGTCCCTAAATGATGTTGCAGGCTCCGGGGGCAGATACTTCTGTTTCAGGACTCCTTTGGGGACATTTTTCTGTCTATCACGTTAGTCCCATATTTACGGTATACACTATTTGCCCACCTTTTTACAAATTTAATGATTGTTTCAGAAGGGAAGCATTGCGCCAGCAGTGTTAGCCTGCAGGTTTCACATGGCCACTTCTGTTGTAAATGGATGGTGGCACTTGCTGAAGGGTTACATGCCATCCTTAGGCAGAGACTTACCGTAATAGCTCTGCTTGTTATCTGCTGCAAGATGTACACGCACTGAGCTGTGGAAGTGTCCGGAGAAGTAGCGAGCAAGCTGACCTACATGTTCAGCGTGGAGCTCTATCTATGCCTTGAGCTGTTTCACACAGAAGGCTGTTTTCATAACCAATTCACTGCCGTGGGATTTAGCTGAAAGGAACACTGCGTCTTTAAATGAGAAAGTGTACAGTTCTTCTCCTACAGCATGTCAGCATCTCAAGCTCACTTTTCAGCAGTATAACGACTTATAATAAAGCTTTCATTTCACGAGCGCTCATCATGAGTCTCTGTTCTGTTGCCAAGTTGCGAGGTGTTTGTGGTGCTGCTGAATAGTGTCGTAAGAGGCTAGCAGTAACTGTTCCTATTTCCTTACCTCCTATATTTCGTCCCTGCACGGTGCAGTGCAGCGCCTCCTGACTCTCACTGCTCTTTGATGAGAAATCTGCCTTGTTCAATACCTATTATGCCCTTGCATGACTGTTAAGGCTTTCTGTGCAGAGACCACTGTCCCGGTGTTACATCCTATGACTGAGCGAAATAAATTGTGACCTCTGAGTTGTATTCCAATAAGAGAATGCTGCCCAGAAGATAGCGTAGGAAAGATAATTCTAGTGTTAGCTTTTCATTATTTAGCTGTCTTTTTTTTTTTTTAATTGTTTTTTGACAGCAATGGAAAATGGGTTCTCTAAAGACTGCCTGCTAGTATGAACAGCGATGCACTTGTAACTCATGGAAATAAATGTACATTTTATCTTTACACCATTAAGATTCAGTGTTGATTTTCTCTGGATCATTGTCTTAAGTAGATAGTCATAATCAATTTATGGTTTATGCTTCAGACAAAAGTGTTCATGGGCCTCCACTCCTCCCCACCCCACCCTCCATGCATTGCCCCAGGTCCTTTTCAGCCAGGCATGGTGCCACACAGTTTTAATCCCAGCATTCAGAAGGCAGAGGCAGGTAGGTCTCTGAACTGGAGGCCAGCCTGGTTTGCACAGGGAGCTCCAGGACAGCCAGGACTACGTAAGTCCTATTTCAAAAAAGAAAAAGAAAAGGTCCTCCCCTTACTCTGGACAGCAAATGATTGTGACATAGTCATCTCTTAAAAACAGGTCTCATGTAATCCAAAGTTGGTGGTGACTCCCAAACATACCAATTTGGAATCTCTGGTTGCCTCTGAAAAGGGCCTTTTTGTCTTCATATTCTAGAGCTGTGGGAAGGGCTATTCAGCACCCCATACCAGGTTCAGCGTGACACCCACACCTCAGCTGGCTAAAGGATGGCTGACTCATCCCAGAAACCTTGCTGTAAATATTCTTGCCCTAAATACCCGCTTTTCACTTCCATACATGGAACCCACCTAGCATTGAAAGAATGGAGATTCGACCTTTATTTGTACACTAGTAGTCAGTTTTCTTTTTCTAAAGCACTGGCAGCTTTTCTACTTGTTTATTATATTTTTAAAGGAGGTGTTCATATTTTCATAATAATTTGCTGACTTCTAAATAAGGAAACCATAGCCTCATCTCCCAGGGCACAGAGCTCTCTGATCTTCCCTTCCTGGTACTGTGAAGTAAGGTTGGCAGTGAGACTATTCACTGCACCCTAGAATCACTGTACCGCGATCGGTGCACTTTCTGTGTCCACGGGAAATGAGTACATCCGAGAGACACAGAGCCAGCGGTACGGTCACAGCTAGCGCTGTTGTGCTACACTCATTAACACTTTTTAAAAAGATTTGACTTGATGTATGTGAGTGCCCTATCTGCATCTATGTCTGCATGCTAAGGGGTCATTAGACTCCAGTGTAGATGGTTGCTGGGAATAAAATTCAGGACCTCTGGAAGAGCAGAAAGTACTTGTTTTTGGATTTTTGGTTTTTTGGTTTTTTTTTTTTTTTTTTTTTTTTTTTTAAGATTTACTTATTTATTATTTACACAGTCAGAAAGTACTCTTAACCAGCCCTGGTTCTCTTTTTTTTTTTTTTTTTTTTTTTTAAGATTTATTATGTATACCGTGCTCTGCCTGCATGTACATCTGCATGCCAGAAGAGGGCACTAGATCCTAATATAGATGGTTGTGAGTCACCATGTGGTTGCAGGGAATTGAACTCAGGACTTAGGAAGAATAGCCAGTGCTCTGAGCCATCTCTCCAGACCGGTTTTCACATTTTTAAAAGTGTGCAGATAAGGTCATCTCCATACTGATGTTATTGAGCACCTCTATTATTTATAGACTATCGAGAAAGCTGTCTGGTAGCTGTAGTTTTTTCCATGTCTTAAAATATGAGCAAAAGAACTAGTGAAAACATTTTGCTCCTTTTATTTTGTTTGAAAAAGGTACTTACCCATCAATCCCAAAGACCCCTTGGTGAGAACTCTGGCATGATACCAGCATTCCGAGCTAATATGGCCTATGTTGGGGCCTCCTGGTAAAAGACCAGTGTACAGTTCATTTATACTTACCTCATCCCTGCTCATTTTAGTACAGGCAATGAGGGCATGGGGTGGCCGTTGGTTTGGGGAAGCTATGAGTTAACAGCTGCTGTCTCTGAAGAATCACAAAGGTAGACCACCGCACTGCATGCCACATACTGTTCAGACCACTTAGAGGAGACTTCCATCTGCTTACGGTCATACTTCATTAATATTAATGGTTATATTCAAGTTTTTGGTGACTTACATAATGTACTAACATGTTGATACATACATGCTTGTAAATGTAATGGTTTTGAGCAATTCTTTTGCTTACATGATTTTTAAAGCGTTTGTTCCTTAAAATTGTTGTGCTCGTGTTTAGAATATCATACCCTATAACCCAGATGAGAAGCGTGTAAGAGTGGGATAAATAACCCCTCATACTACTCCAGCTCGATGTGGTGGAGCGGCAGGGGGATCCAGCGCCCTAAGGTCACACCAGTTTACCCAAAGCTCGTGAGCACTCGCCCTGCTTTGTATCTCCTTTGTACCATTGGTAACTTTTTGGTATTGTATTCGAAACTGCATAGATTATTTAGGATAATGGTAAGTTTAAAAAACAAATGTTGAAGGAAGATTTTTGTTAAGAATTTAAATGTTTTTTTCATTGTATTGTTAAACTTGAACATTTATCTGTGACTTTTGTGTTTTGGCTAGTGTGTATAAAATTGTAAGAGGTTTATAATTATCATCTTTTCTGTTGTAAACATGCTTTTTAATTCATTATTGAATGTTTATGGCACCTGACTTGTAAAAAGAATCACCAGAAAACCTTAGAATCTTCACATTGTGTCACTGTGTTGCAGAGTAACCCTGCTGTTAGTATAGCTAGTTGGTCTATGTAGCGTGCCTTCTGACCCCGACTTTGCTGGCAGTTGCTGGATCACAAACTGCTGCTCTGGGTAACTTCAGACCTTGGTTCTAGAGAAGGGGGAGCTCTCCTTACATGCTCTCCGCATCGCTATCCTTCAGGGCATGGGCAGGCAGCAGATGCAGCCTCTTCACCAAGAATTCACCAAGACTGTTAACAAGTCTTGGGTGTTTGTTTCTTGTCAGTTTTGAAGGCAGCACAGTGACTTACTTATAAGCCACAGGTACTGGGAAGGTTTTTGATGGGGTGAGGGAACAGGCTTTAGGTCACCTTCCCCTCTGTTCTCAGCTACAGCTGGCCTTCTCTGTACTCCCTCTCCGCAGCAGTCAGTCAGCTGTAAAGACAGTCAGTATCATTTGCTGTGCGTGCAGGAGGAATAAAAATATATTTCAAGTAATTATCATACGGCACAGCAAGTACTGAGTAAACACCAAGTCTCCCCAGATGCTGTTATGTTGTTACATGTTGTTGTAAATCCTACTTCTGTCCATCTGAGGAAAACCTGCCCTGAAAATCCCTCAGGAAGTGGAGTTGATGCTGTCTAAATTGAACCAGTCGGCATGTCACATGCATCTCTCCTGGAGAAAGCTGGAAATGGCTGTTTTCCTTGTTGAGTGCTGACGCCTGGCCATCATAAGGATCCTACTTCGTCGGTGAGGGGCTCCACCCCTTAACAGCCATGGTAGACGAGCATCTTGATTGCCACACTTGATCAGAATCAAATGTCTCTGGGCTGAGAGGGGAGGGCAGTCACAGCAGGTGAAGGCAAATGCAGACTTCCTCCTTGAAGTCCAGTACAGGCTGAGCTGGGTAGTGCCAGTGTGTGTCCATAGGAGTAGTGTGATGAGTTTTCATGGAGGACAGGCTTTAGAGCATCTGTGAATCTGAGAGGAAGGTGACAGCAGGGAGAAGACTGTCAGTGGATACCGTCTTATTTGGCTCCTGAACCAAGAATTGCTAAAGATGGTGATTTTTCAGTAGGACGGTGAGAAAGATGAGTGCTGTGGTGAGGAGGATCCTCTGTAAGAAGTGGGCGGGAGAAATGTCTGCTAACCACTGGTGCCATTCACTGTGCTTGGCAGAGCAGGGCACGAAGAGGACAGTAGAGCAGAGGCCAGAGCTAAAGGGCTGTGGTGCAGGTAAGGACCACGTGGTGTAGGCACTCGCCACAGAGGCTAGGAGGCGGGGCTTAGACTCCCTTGTGTCTAGATTTTTAAATGTAGAGCATCTGGGACCCTGGAGCGGCTCTGTGGAGAGCAGGGGTATCTTAGGGCTGTTTGGAGTCTGGAGACCATTGCTTCAGATGTGCTTCCCCTATAGATAGTGACATCATTAAGCGGCTAGGAGAGATGCAACTAGATGCTGGGCACGGTAGCACACACCTGTAATCAGTCCCAGTACTCTGGAGGCAGAGCCCAGGGTGCTAGTCTCCACAGAGGGCATTCCAGGCCAGGCTGCTTACAGACACCTTTTCTCAAAACAACAACAAAAACACCCAGTGAAAGAAACTTGTCGGCGTGTCTTGTCGTGGTTTGGTAATCTCCGGTGAATTAGGCGGGCACTGCTGTGGACTGCAGACCAGCAGCTGGCTCCCTCAAGGACCATTGATGTCTTCAAGAAGTTACTCTGGTTTCATCTCTGCGGAGCAGGGCGAGAACATGTGACCATATGAAAAACAAGACCTGTCTCCAAAAAGGAAGACCACTAACACACTTGCCTTAGTGGGTTACTGCGGGGATTCAGGAACTGTGCTCTCAAAAGCAAGGATTGGGATGTGAAAGCAAAGCTTTGAAAAGCGATCACTGCTAAAACAACTCCTGCATGCCAAGAACATGAGCGGGCCCACTGTGTGCCTTCACTCTTGTAGCTGTGAGCTTCACCATGGTACTGCGGGCATATAAGGAAGAAGGAGTGGTTGGTGGAGGTGGGGTTCTTCTTTAAATGCAGGCCATGGTTAATCACTGGTGACTGGGGGGATCTTCATTTCCTTCTTTCTCTTCATTCTCAGTTCCTAATTTCCTCTTCATAAAGTTGAGAGTATATGCAGAGGAAGGACATCACTTGGGGTTTGATGTTTAGTGCTGGAACAAGAGCGAGGATTGCATTGCTGAGCACGCCTCCAGCCTAAAGGGCGTTCGTGTGATGACTACTTGCCATCAGCACGTGAGCTTCCAGATGATTTCTCCCTCAACTAATGGGACTTGAGACATATCCATGTTTTGGAACTCGGCCTGTGGTGCTGTGCTGGACCAGGCCAAGGACAGGAAGGATGCCCAGAGTTTTTGGCTTGGTGATGTACGGGAGACAGAGACTTAAGAAGGAAGAAATGGTAGAACACATGTGTAGTCTGGGTTACATAGTAAGACTGTATCTATAGATAGGTAGTTAGCCAGGAAAACAGCTAGGTGAGTAAGCATC